CTAGTAGTAAGGCCAGGAGCCCCTAGTAGCGTCCTTGCTCCTAGTAGCCTCTTTTTGGTACCAGTTTTTTCTTCGATTCACACGGCACATCTGCTATTTTCACGTCTTTGCCCCTTCCTTTGTCCAGCGAAGAGATGCAGCGCCAGAGAGTCCCTCGAGCCACCACCAGTGACGAGAGTGATCAGCAGATTGTTGCTTCAGCGGCTGAGGTGGTTTGAAGCGCAGCTCAGTCAAACCGCAGCGTGGCAAGATGGGTGTCACTGATGCCAAGAAATGGTCCATGAATTACTGTAATTGGATAGGTTGCGGGGGATTGCTTTTCACATCTTTTCACTGACACTTCGATTCTACAGAAAGGCACGCAGTTTCTAGTCGACGCTTTTCAAGGTGGTACCCTGTGGTTCAATTATGGTCGAAGTGTTTTGTCTCCCTTCTTTCTGGGCAAGCAATTCTGTCTCAAGTTGGACTTCTGGGTGAAGTGAAAACCACCGACTTGGGATGTATTTGCAACGGATTGGTAGACCCCTCAAGTTCGCGATTACAACCCCAGGAACAAGTGCATCGCTTCTAGTAACAAGTGCCTTACTAGTATATAGTAACAAGAAGCTACTATATAGGGGCTCCTGGCCTTACTACTAGGAACAAGAAGCTATTAGGAACAAGTTCCAGAGAACTTTCACCAGTGCTCAGCTTCTGACCCCCCGTCCGTCAGTCCTCAGCGCAGCCTGAGGATCCTTCGGTGGTTCTGACCAACGCACCCAGCTCACTTGATGGGAGACACAGCGCCACCTGCTGGGGACAAGCTGCTGCAGAGATCCCACACGTGCAGGCGCGCGATGCGGAGGATCGATTTCTGCTTTTCCAAGAATGGTGGATGCCAGGATTAGGGGACGGTGGAATCAGTTCGTGGTGAAATTGCTGGAGAACATCCAGGGGCGAGAAGATTCTTACGATGCGAACTTCGTAGGTTGAGAACAAGGGAAGTGTTCGTTCAACAAAAACGGGCCACCCCTCAATACTTCACCGGATTCCTCGGTCTCTTGTGCCAGGTACATCCAGGACAGGCGACGGAGATCCTGATGGAGTTGGCCTTCGGTTTCCTGGTTCGCAGAGAAGGGCACTCCAGAATTGACCCGGAACAGGATGCCGTATGTCACATGCCCCATGTCATACCACGTCACATTCTTGGCCTTTGAAAAGGCCACAGTTCAGCAGAACCGGAGCGGCTCGGACCCCCCGCAAAATCGCGGGTTCTGCCTTCCTTTGGGATTGCCGGAGGTGAATACCAGCTGAAGTTCAAGGTTCCAGGCGCTGGATGTGATATTTTCTTTTGCAAAGATGTGAGAGTCGCTTTTGAGTCATGGACAATGAGATGGGATGCTTTTTGCGTCGTGCGGGAAGATGATTTGGGCGAGTCTTTGGGCCCAAAAGCAGTTGGCCGATTCTACAAGGAGCCAAGAAGGCAAAGCGAATGGAAGAAGAGAATGACAATAAAACACTATACACATCTCCAGAACGCCTGCACCATCCTGGACCACTTTCCCCAACGTCATCAAACTGTAAAACACTTTTCCCATCTTGACGCTGCAAACCATGCACCCATGTGTACCGGAAACAATCGAAAACGCATCAGGAAATTCGCAGTGGCTTCGCTCGGTCGTTGTTTGCGAACAGTGCTCCGTTCCCAACCGTTCGCCACGGTACGTCGGAGGCCGCGGAAGCGCGCCAGCGATGCGTGGCACGCAATGCACGCCGCCCCCCCACGTCGAAGACTACTCGGAGGAATATCGGAAAGCCTTGGAGGACTGCAAGATCTGGGAGGTTTCGTTTGGTCAAACGGGACACGAGATTGCTCATAGCCGCATAGCCATAGCCTCATGGTAGTGTTCATAACCTCATGGTCTATGCTACTCTGGTCGCGGTGGGGTGGCATGAGAACTTGGTTGGAACTTGGAAGGCTAATTACGTTGTGATCAGCTATTGATTGAGCCTGCTCACGATGGCACCAGGGTGCACACGATAGATGAATGAGTTGCGTCCGTCTGGACGGAATTCTGGACTATTCTGGCCACACAAGGATTCCAACCATTGTTTTATTAACTACAAAATCAGGTCAATTTTTAAACTGGTCGAACGGAAGGCGAGAGACCACCATTTGCTCCCAGGTCCACAGGTAAACCCTCCAGCGAGGACCATGCGCAGCGGCAGAAGAGTTACTTGAGCTTTGCCAAGGAGTCGCGTGTGGGGCAGACAGCGATCCGGAACGCCGACGTAGAGGCGATCTTTGCGCGCACACACGCGCGCAGAGTTTGCGTGCCAGCCCCTCTGTGCTGCGCAAGATGTGTCATTGTGTTGAAGGTTCTCAAATGATAAAACGGGATCATACAGATTCATACAGGCTGGTTTGGTGGAATCCTTTGCTGCTTGCTTCTACTCATCATCTTCCTGGGATCCTCCCGTTCCTCCGCCCACAAGAAGTTGTTCGCCCGCAGTCTGTGGCGGCCCTCCAGCAGTGTGCTTTGGCCATGGCGCTCTTCCCTGGATCTTTCGGAGTGGAAGCACAAACTGCCAATCGCATTCTGGTCAGCTGGTACACTGCCCTTCGGCGTGAGATGCGGCTCAAAAGTACTATTTTACGGATACACCAGGAGAAAAACCCAACTGAGCTTTGGGATGCTTTGCGGTGCTTTGGACAGCTGCTGCCGAAGTTCATGGGTTTCCGTTGGTTACCATGATTTACTGTAATATGGAAATATTATTTTATTATGGTTTATTATCTATATTGTATTTTTGTTCTGTGGCATGCCATATTTGGAGCTTCACCTTCTTCAAATCTCATTTCCATTTGATTTCCTCCGATCCCTTCCCAGTCCGACCCAGCTCCCACTGAGGTTGGCGGGGAAGGGCGAAGCTGAGAGGCGTGACGGTCCCGGTGCCCAGCACCGTCACAAACTGTGCCCCCCCGAGGCACGAGCCGGCGCGAGCCGGCGTGGTTGAGGCGACAGTTGGAGAATTGGTGGGAACCCACTTGCCTATTCTTCGGTGCACCAGGAAGCAAATCGAATCACCTATGGTTCTGGTGCAAAAGGTTTTGGAGAAGAGTCGCCACACATCAGAATATAGCAGCCTTAGACGAGTGGTTTATGAACTTGTCAATTCACCATATGAGCATCGATCCCAGGGAAAGCAAAACAATCATCTACAAAATGGAAGGTCTTAAGCCCACTAAAAACATAATCATTGTAGTAGGCCTTGTCGGCAAATTTTCTGTAAATATGAAGGTCAAGTCTTTTTGTAGAGAAAATAATGATCAGATACATTGGATTCTTCGCCGTTTGGAAACAGGCGAACACTTGGTAGAGGGCCATTTGGACATTGGGGAAAGGCCAGTGCGCAAATCAGTTTTGTTCGCCAGAATGTGGCCACAGACGTCATTGTGAGGGTGCTGGAAAGAAGACCGCGCTACGTGTCTTCGATTCACTTCGATCCATGTTTCCCTTCACTACAAAATGGTTGCCGGCCGTCTCATTTTTTAATTTGCCTTAATCTATATTATTAACATTATAGCTTTAACAAAAACAAACGGACATCTCTACAAAAAGGAAGTTCAGGATCTTAATATGTCGAGATTTAGATCATGCGAAGCTGGAAAAATCATTTTGTAGGGAGCCACAATCATCTCAGATGTCAAGGTCAATCTTTGCATCCTTGACATTCTGTACTTAGGATCAGCCTCTACAAAATGAGACTGACATAGTAGCTTGTTATTTTGTAGTGAACAATCTAGAGTCCTTTTTGTTGTTTTGTTTTGTATCTACAAAATTCAGGCCCCGGCTGCACATTAAATTTCCATGTCGATTCATTTGGCGGGGCTTGGACGTGGAGCTGCTCACATGGATTCATCATCAGGTACTGAGCCAAGCTAAAGAACTGAGAGAGGACCCAGAAGGGACGGTTGACCGGGGGAAGCAGCGGTATGAGTATGACCTCCGATTTTTTGTTTTGTCGTGCTGCTTATGGACTGGTCTAGAGACGTCATTTTGAAGCTTAAAGCCCCACCATCAAATACATCTCTCCCTCTCTATACACAGCTTTTGCATGTTTTTGCGACCTACAATTCTTGCACATGTTTGTACTTGTTGAAACGGAAGCGGTGCATAGAACATACATATATATATATATATGTATATGTATAGAGAGTAAAGTTATTAAATATATATGTGTATGTATAGGATATAATATCCAAATCCCCCCGTACCTAACATAATATTATATTTTACTGGTATTTGCAGTGTTTTATGAACTTTTCTGAATGTTGAATGTGTTCCTGGACTTTGCATTGAATGTGTTGGGCGGGGGGGTGCCATACATACATATATGTGTGTGTCTATGTGTATTAGATCATGGGGAAGTGTAAGGGTCTATGACTATGACGGAAACTCGAAAACTCTCACGACCTGGCCTGAGCCACTTTGCAGACATAGGGCTTGTAGTTGTTTTTTTTGTTTTCGACGTTATTGTCTCTTGCCAATACAGATGTACGAGAAAAAACCAGGGCAAGCAGCATATCCTGTCCACATGCTACTGTTCACCGTCTGCTCCACGTGAACCACATGTCCATCGAAGACATGGCAAAGCACGTGTGCCAACTTTGCGACGTGCGTGTGTGTGTTGATCAGGAGAAGAGTCGCACTTGCTGTGGAAAGGACAGAATTGGACAGATGTTCAGGCTGACGAAGCAACTTTCGAGCGAAAGGCGTTGGTCAGCATGTCGAACGAGAACAATGGTGCGGCATCATTCAGTGGGGCAAACCGTCGACTGGTGCTACATCGTTTGAAGCCGGCCCTGCCCGCAAGGTCGAGAGGCAGCCTCTGGCTAAGAAATGGCTTCAAGACCGATTCTGCACACTGGCTCCTCAAGGCATGGCTGCATCAAGACCTCTGGATCAGCACAGCCAGTGGTTCTTGGCTACGTCTGGATAGGGCATCTGCCTTTGGATAGGGCATGTGCTAACTATTGCTTAATTTCTGCTAGTATACATTTGCTACACACATTTGTGACCCACACCTGTGACCTACTGTACATCTGGTAAAACTACATGAAAGGTAGGTAGCGGCGGGGTGTGTATACATAACATGTTATATCTATATATATATATCATGTATGTATTCACGTGGAGGATTAAGCGCTTGCGAATCACGCGTGCTCAGTGCCCTGTGTCTCAAGTTAGCCATCTGATTCAAAGGTCATGTTTCAGGTGTCATGCTTTGCATGCTTCGGTCAGGCGGAGAAGATCCTGACGAACCCCATGCAGCTTCCAGCTTCCGCGGATGCACTCTCTGAGCCCTTGGAGATCGGACATGGAACCGGTCCGATCCGGCATGTTCCGCCTCGGCCTGGCAGCCGCCTGAGGTCGATGTGAGAAGATGGGCTGGTGGTTCATGACGCAGAATGGATGAACTCGAGGGATGTGAACATGGTTGACTTTGGCGGTGTTTAGTAGGGGTCCACACCCTGTCACATGCAACGGGCAAAAGGACATGTAGTGTTTGTGGAGTTTTTGGTCCGCAGACCTCTGCCATCTCAAGTGTTTTCCTTTTCTGAGGGATGCTTGAGAGTAAGACGAGTAGTGACATCGAAATCTTAAATGCCAGCATTGAATCTCACACCGCTTGGCTTCCGGCTTCGGGCTGATCAGCTGGCGGATTGCCCTTCCTGCATGCTCTCTGTCGAGCTGCGCAAATCTCATGGCCTCCGCCAGAAAAGACAACATGTTTCCTGCCTAAGCAATCAAGGATATCTCTGACACCTCATATTCAAGTAGGCCACGACCCCCACCCTCCAGGCCAAGCTACCAGAACTCTTGGTTGTTGAAGACACCAGAGGCGGGCAATGGTTGGGCATAGTCGGCGCTCGTTGGAAGCCAAGTGGGGGTTGTTTTTTCCCGTACTGTAACCGACCTTTTTGGGCTTAGGTCTTGCGTGAGAACTGCTGAAGTTTCTTGGATCGTACTCACTCCCCATGCCACTTGGTGTAAGGCCATGGTCTGAGTGAAATGAGGGACCACGGCTGGGAGGACCCTTTGCTCTACTCTAGTTCAACATTTAGACATTGAGATTGATGCATGGACCTAATGGACCTGGCAAGTCCAACCCTTGCAGGCCAAAACTAGTACACTTTGACGAACACATCGCATGGAAGTGGATGGCATGGTCCCTTGGAAGACTATACCTACCTTTACGAACATTGAGTGTCATCCACTTCCATGTCAGTGAGTCAGAGTGTAACTCTACAGTCTCTCTAGTAGCAAGGCATCGGCATCACAAGGCACTTCCTGTCGCATTTTTGAAGGTTTCACTACCTTTTGCTCATCTCCTCTTTCAAGTTTTGGTCGTTCTTGTCATAAAACAGCACAATCCAATCCGTTTGAACCTGCGTTGCCCCGCGGGGCTCGCCTTGCTCCCGTTCCGACTCTGCTCTCCGCTCCAGGCGAAGAAGCGCAGTGCCGACACCGCTCCGCCTTCGATCCAGAGAAGGTTAGAGAAATCAGTCGATGGCGAAACTTTCTTTTTTAGCTAGGCGGATTGGGGGGTTAGGCTGAGGAGTAGCTACTCACGTAGCTAGTAGTCCACTACTAGTAGCTGGGACGCAGGAAAAGGGTCTCGCACGATTCATTTGGTTCCCCAAAGTGAGGGAAACTGAACTGAACATATCTGCATAGAATATCACCACAGAATTATTTTTGGTCGCAGTGATTCCTGGAAGTCCAACAGGTTGGAGGCCATCGCCAGTAGTTTTTTGAGGCTTCGCTCGACCCTCTCGATACTCTTAGCGTCGAACTCGCGAACTCGTGAGATCGTGTCTTGGTGGACATCGGGTTCCAGTGTGGTCAGTGGAATGCGTTGCATTCCGAGGGTATATAATATATAAAATAATAGTATGTATATATATAATAGTACTATATATACCCTAGAAGTCCAAAGACTATTTTCGGCACCACCCAAGTAAAGGAAATTCCTTTTCGGATCATCTAAAGACCATTTTATAAATAGTCTTTGACTTTCAGGGTATATATATTCTTTGTTCTTAACATACTTTGTTTTTTCTGAGGTTTTACACGGGTGACACAAGGTCGGAACGGAGATTTTCATACAGACTTCCGATTCAAAACGATCCACTCGAAAGACCCAAGAAGTCTCAGATGATTGCTGGTCCTCAAAGTCCAAACATCCCGGAGCCTCGGCAACAGACCAGTTTGAACAAAAGAACATCAAATAAGTACTTGATACAATGTTGTTTATGGCACGAGAAAGTAGGTAATATATATTTTATGGTGATACACATTTCAAAAAGTTGATACAAAAGTCAATGGTTGGGCACGAGATCAAGTATGGTCTTTTGTTTGGGGCAGCGTCAGGTCAGGTAGGCGACCTACCCTAGGTCTTTGGTCACCATTTCGTGATTCTGCATGTCTGCAACATCGCTGTGATCAGGTTGCGAGATGATGTTCAGACGGCCTTGCTGCAAGACTCTGACACCCTCCTTGTGGCTTGCCGAAATCTGGGACCAACCTACTGTGCTGCCCAGATGCTGAGGAAGTTGACTAGAATAGAAAGAAGTAATGAGCCAAGACGGACTCCTAAGGATCTAAAAAGATACGTCTCGCTTTTGGAGCAGACCCAAATACATACACCACCTGCAACCCCCAGTCCAACCCCCAGTCATCAAGATGTCCACTCTCTCTATATATATATATAGAGGTGTATGTTTAACCGGGTTTGTTCGACTATTCAATCCTCCAAAGATCCAAAGCGTGGGGACCATTTGGACAAAGAGCTACTGCCCAGGATTCTCTGCAGTACCTGCCTATTAGAATCACTTTTCTTATCCGATGATCTTCAGTAGCACGTTATTCCATATCAGCAAACATCAAGACCTGCCAAGCTCGAAAGTTACACAAGCAAATTTCACAAACAACAGACGTTTTGATGGATCATTTATTCCATCGGCCACTTAACTCTGCTTCAGTGCCCACCACGAAACTTGGTGTTCGTTCGTTTCTGCGTTTCGTTCGTTTTCTCATGTTTGCGGTTTCTGGTGGCGCGGATCATACCTGGGGTCGTCTATGCGCGGGGCTTCCCACCGCGGAACGTCAGACGACCAACAACAGCGAGGCCCTGGCATTGCTGCGAAACCACCGCTGCTGTGGCCAGTCACCCAGGATTCGGAGAGAATGGCTTAGAATTCCTTTATCACACGAGGAGTCACACGAAGCTGCAGGAAGTCGTGTGTTGGTTCTGTTTCCCAACATCTGTGGCACGTGGCAAATTTGATGTTTTGGATGGAAGGACGGAAGGACCTGGTAAATACGAATGTCTTAGTGGGACATCAGCAAATTAAATCCGGCCCGGATGCGCCTGAGTAGCCTTGCTACACTACCATCATTATAGAGTCCAGAGAAGCTTTTCGTTGAATTGCTAAATAGCCAGCACAATAGTCCACTTCAACTGTTGCCAAGGCCTCAGAGTTGCAGTAGCTTGCCAGTCGGGGCTAGATTGGAGTAGCACAAATGTCCCTGACCACAGAATAGACCATTTCGCAGTCTCACCCCACTCACCCCAAAATCGCCTGGCCCACGATCCCTCGGCCGCCGCTGGGCCGACCGGACATCCCAAACTGGATCTCGCCTGCCCTCCAAGGGAATCATTGCGTCTATGAGGCTGGTAGATGCGAATTGATGCACCCAAGTGAATTAGTAAAGGACTTTGTGCGAGTCTGTCCAGGAATTTTTGAAAAACATTGAAAAGCCTCTTTCAAACTTGGCTCAATGATAAGTCCATTTCTTTCACTTTCCCACCAAATCGTGGCAACTTTTCTTTTCTCGTGCTTCCACATATTTTCAGCCAGGGCCATAGCCTGACTCTGAAAATGGACAGAGTCACCAAAAGACATTCTCAAGAATCAGACACTCAAGCACAAAGGAAGATTACTGTGCATAGCAGAACTCCGTCCACTGGACATCACTGGTATGTTCGATCAGGTGACTCTATCACTTGACCATTCCCTGGCTCAGGCGGTGCGCCGGCAGAACTTCAGGGCTTTGGAATATCTCCTTCAGCGCGAGGCGGACACAGAGATGCCTTTGTCCGAAGCTTTTGGTTTTACCAATTCTCAAGATCTCGATTCTGAACGCCCCCAGTTGTCGTTTCAAAGGATATGATCGGGAATTAGCTGTGAACTTTGATGTTACACTACCAAAGAAAATCATGGACCTGCACAGAATTTTGAGACATATTAGCAACTCTTGAAACTTGAAACGGCATTTTGTTTTCTTACCACATTCTTTCACTGAAAATTGCCTCCGGCAAAAGTTTATGCCGTTTGAAGATCCAGGTATGGCCAGTCCATGCAGGTGACTGAAGTTGACCTCTAAGTAGCGAGATGCAAAGCATGCTGACACAGAGTGTAGCCTTGCAACTGGCTGAAGCGCATCCTCGTCAGAGCAGACACATGCAGAGACCAATAGGCTCCAACCAAGCGAAGACAGGTGGACGGAGCCAGACTGAAGGACTTGGGAAGAGAGATTCCCAAAGCCCAGAGGCCAGTGACCTGGATGAAGCTTGCCTTGGTCGTCGGCCACTACACGTGGCAGCACAGGCAGGGATAGCCCCAGCTAAGATGGCCAAGGAGTTTTTTTTTTTTTTTTTTTTTTTCGAAAAGACCACCTGCAATTTGCCAGGTTAAGCCTTTAATGGATCATGGATGACTTGAAGTGAGCTAATGTCTGTCTTTAAATGTTTATGTATTCATCGAACATGCGATTGATTTATGTCACAGCCACAACGGTCTCGTTTGCTGATATTAACGAATTCACCTGTTTCGGATGTAAAGATGAAAGCCCTTCCTTCCTTTGTATCCGGTGTCGGCCCTAGTGACTTATAGTGAGAAAGTCCGTGTCCATGCCGGGCCGAAAACAGGCGTGCATGTTCAACGGCGACGAGGGCTATTGCATGACAGAGATTCTCCTGCAGCATGGGGCAAGGCTCGGCGTGGAGATGCGTGGAGCGCTGAGGGACCAATCATTTCTCCTTTTGGACGCTCAGTTTTGACATGTTTTGACGTGTTGGGACCCTCCAAATCTCTCCAGTCCAAGAAAAAGCCCAATAGGAATTTTCCGAGGTTGCAACCACTTGAATCCACTGGTTTGCAAAGCCAAATTGGACTCTTCCGCCCTGAACCTTGCAGCATTGCACCATTGGTCTCCCCGGGTTTGGGCACCTCAACAACATACACAATGGGCAATAGACCCACCAAACGAAAAACATGGGATTAAAGTCAACCCTTGGCTTAAAATACACCTTCATAGTCCTTCATATATTATGAAGAGGCTTTGCAATTCAATTCGGGGGACGGTCTAAATAGCTTCCATCCTAGAAGCAATGGCCTCCAGCCTAATAGCGGCAGACCTTTTATGACTTCTTCCCTGTGCGTGTCGGGCTCTTGGCTCTGCACCTTCCGTCCGCCCTGGTCGTGAAGACATGATGGCTGCACATGGATCTGACATTTGGGGATCAAATGTACTAGTCTTCAAATGTCTTCAAGTCTTCCGGAACAAGATCTGAAGGAACATCTATCAGACACCGATGTTGTTTCTTTGGGTTTCCAGGTGCATCTCGACAAGATCTCTCACCTGTTGGTCCATTTCTTCCACAAAAAATGGTGCCCTTTTGGACGGCACTCGGGAGGTCGCGACCAAAAGCGGCAGCTGTGAGGTGTCACCGAAGCAAACGTCCCCTTTCCTTCCGAGCGGCCGACGCGGGCCGCTCGGTTGTCTCGTCCGGGTCTGTCCTGAGAGTCTCTCATTGATGTTCTCTGATTCGAGTGGAGGGCAAAACCATTCTAACACAGGATGTTCCAATGGTTTTTCCCTCCTCCAAACAATATCCATCAATATACTTTTGAAAAACCAGGGGAGGGACATGTCGGGATGGTCCCAGGATGCACAGCCCGACCCATTTGGTGCCCCCTTTTTCTCCCCAAACACGCCAACAACGCTGCCAGGCCCGGGCGCGCGGCGGGGGATGCCGGGGCCGCCGAGAGATCGGTGGGGAGGCTGGTGGTGAGTGATGTGAAACTCCAGACATGATTAAAGAAACTACTAGGTGGCCATCGCTTATTAGGTTGGAGGCCACTACTAGTAACAAGAAGCTACTAGTAGCGAGTATGATTTTTAAGACCATGTCAAACCTCACCAGGAACTTCTGGAACGCTTCAATGTGGAAGAGTATCGTCGAACTGGACTTTCAGGGTGTTGGAATAGGGAGACCTCCCAGATCGTATGGAGTGTGAGGATGTTTCAGTCGATTTTCACTTTATTTGCTGTGGTCGGGTTTCGTTCGACGCGTTGTTTTTCTTGAAAAGAAATACATCCTTCCGGAAATCTTCCGAATGATACCATAGCCATTTGCTAGAGAGATCCACGGCCTGGGAGGCCTCCATGTTCTTTGATTGAGGAACCGACAAGTCTGACAGGATTCAACTCAGCAAAAAGACCATCAGCAGATATCAGCAGTACACTGCTGCAGACTTGGAATTTCACCTGGCTGGGAAGATCACATTTCATTGCAAACCGTGGGACTATCACTTCCATGTGTGCGACTTGGAGTGCCACATCTTTTCACCCAAGCGGAATTTTGCCCGCAAACTCCTTCAGTTTTGGATCTTTGGCTCTTGCGGTGGCCGTGGGAGAAACCAACACCGCCGAGCACCACACGGTCCGTTCCGCTCCGCCGAGGATCCCAAGATCGCCCCGCCGTTGCACGAAGCGACTCAGCGAGGACCCGCAAACCATGGGACGCGGCTTTCGGAGGTTGTTGATTTAGTGTATAGTATCACGATACTGCACAGTGGGTACACCATAAAGGCACCATGCGGTGTTTTTTTCCCCCAGATAGCTGGAAGCTATAGGGGTTCTTACTTCTCAATGGATGGGTTCCGGATTGCGGAAATTGGCTGCCGCTGCCGCCTTGTCTCCCAAGCTTGTCTCCCTTCATGATTTCGCTCTTGGCTGCCGCTGCCATCTTGTTTCTCCAGCTTGTCTCCCTTCATGACTTCGCTCTTGGCTGCCGCTGCCGCCTGGTCTCCCAAACTTTTTCTTTCATGATTTCGCTCTTGGCTGCCGCTGCCGGCTTGTCTCCCAAGCTTGTCTCCCTTCATGATTTCGCTTTTGGCTGCCGCTGCCGCCTTGTTTCCCAAGCTTGTCTCCCTTCATGATTTCGCTCTTGGCTGCCGCTGCCGCCGTGTTGCCCAAGCTTGTCTCTGTTCCTGATTTCGCTCTTGGCTGCCGCTGCCGCCTTGTCATTTTCTTGCCTGCCTTTGACGCGGATGCTGTTATAAGATGATTTAGGTCTTGTTTACCTTTTCCATCCTTTCCCCGGCTTTGAGTGGGATGTCTCTCAAGCTTGTCTCCCGCTCTTGCCATGGTGTCCAACTTTTCTTGAAGTGCTATCTGGGGTCTATAGTCCATGACCTATACTTAGAACGTCTTTTGGAAAAATATTTTTTTCATAAGCATGTTCTAACTCTTAGGGTTAGAACATTCTAATGCATGCATCCGGCACCATGGCTTGAGGGTGGATCAATCAAAGAATTTGGAGAAGAATACATAAGGATGTTTGTCGATATTTATGCTCATTCAATGGACATATCTTCAACTTGATTGATGTACTTACGTTGTAAGGGCAAAGACACTACAATAGGGCAAGACAGTTTATATACAGGTGTGTGTGTGTGTGTCTGTGTCTCGCATCTATGTTCTAAGCCTTGCATCCAAGTCTTGAGTCCACATGTTCTAAGTCTTGAGTCCAGATGTTCTAAGTGATGACTAGTGCCAATGTTCTAAGTGTAGCTGCAAAACGATTTCGGAAAAATATTGATGTTCTAAGTATACGTCTTTGACTATATGCCGGTATGATTTAATCTTTTTTTGTTCAGGGTAGTAGGTACCCACAGATGCCAAGTTTGAGGCTTTGCTGCCTTGACGGGTCTGCGAGGCTCTGCAGCAGCTGTGTCGCTCCTGCTGAATGCAAGGTGCGGCCAGGTGAACATCAGAGCCGAGGTCAAACAGGGTTTGACACGGTCAAACTCGACGGTGTATGTGAGAGTTTTGAGGAGACGTACACCTTACAGAACTTGAATCTTGATGAATTATGGGCCACATCTGAGTGTCAATTCGACTTGTGGGTGTCTCAAACCTGACCTGAGTCTCCATCCATATCTTCCGTACCAATCCCCTAAAACCGGGTCCATCCTTGGATGGTCCAGAGATGTCCGGATGGTGCTCGTTTTTGTTTTTCGCTCGACTCAGGGCAAATCCTGACGAGCTGGACGGCCATGGAGACTCTCCCTTGCACGTGGCCTGCAGGAGGGACCGGAGGGGAGTCCGAAAAGAGGCCGCCCTTCGAGGGGACAGCCGTGGTGAAAAGCGGCAAAGAGTCAGACGTCGAAGCGCTTTCAGTGTGAGCCAGCTCGGCAAGTTAACGCTTGGTGATGACTTTGGGCCAGCAAACTATAGACACATGCCCAGCTCAACTCTCGTTGGTGTTCTGGAGTTGGCTCTCCTCCACACCAACCGCAGCCTCTTTTCGATGAGGCAGACCCCATTCCAAGGCGGGCCTATGCAGGCTGAGGCGTTGCTTGACGGACGGGAGGTGAAGCTTCACACTTTTTGAAGGATGTGCAGCTAGTGAGGTTCACCGTGATGACACACCCAGTCGACAAACCCCACCAACCAGCAGGGGAAACGTGGGGACACCGGGGACACCAGTCTTTCAGTCAGACCGTTGTCCACTTCTAGGGGGAAAGGTGCTTCACCTTTACACTCTGACTCATGGAAGCGGACAAGATTCCCTCGGAATCCTTGGAAGGCGATGTTCCTTTACACGGAGGTGAAATACGAAATACCACTTTGATGTGATTCCCTTCGTCTGAGTGTCACCATGTTTAGAACTCTTTAAAACTCTTTAACCGAGCGGAGAAGCAGTTGTACAGATTCCCGTGAGTCTTCTTCATGAAGGGATTGGAGGGCTTGGAAGGCAGTCCGTCGAAGCGGAACATGCTGGGACACGCTCCGTGGAGCAACAGGTCGTGTCTGTGCTGCTCCGCCGGGGCCCTCAAGGTATCTTTCTTCTGGCAGTTGGCAGCGAAGCCAGGTGATCAGATGGGTGTCACCAACCCCCAAACCCAAAAGAAAGAAGACAACGTTAGAGTCTTGGAGATTGATTTCATATGGATGCCCGCTTGCGTCTGGACATGTGTTTCCTTACTTCCGGGATTGGTTGTAATATGTTGTCATAGATTGCACATTTGGATGCGGCTCAAAAGAAGAAGACCCCCGAACCCCTGCGGTTTTCTGTCAGGTTTCCATTTACCAGCTTTTTTTCTAGGCTATAAACACCCTGAGGGGTGCCAATGGGTGGTAGCGGGTATCCATGAACCACCCCTGGAAAGGGCTCCAAACGGTGTCTTCTAAGCAATGAACACAATCATTTTGGGCACCTCATTGGAACGGCATCACGATCATCACGCCTCGTTCCTATCGTTGCTCCGGGGGAGAGCCAAAGGATCTGGGGCGAACCCTATGGTGTTGGACTCTATCGGCCGCCCGCCAACCTGCGCGGAGACCCAGTTACAGAAAGCTCGGGTGGCCGTCCCATGATGTCCTAATACTTAATTCTAATAGCTTCTTGTTACTACTAGCGTGGCACTTGTTCCTAGTAGCGAACATTGTTACTACTAGTAAGGCACCTGTTACTACTAGCGATGCACTTGTTACTACTCCATGACATGATAAGGGGGGTTCTGGCTGAGCCACGAGCCTTTGCATGTGACACAATTTACAGCTTGCATTGCCGAAAACAGCAGCGTGACAGCGTGTAGCAAACTCGCAAGCAAGAATTATATGCCAAGTGTTCAGAACTTCCTGATTCCATTTGTCGTCGATTGATCCTTGGCTTAAACAAAAGGTTGACTCAGGTGGTCCTGCAATCCCACACTGCCACACTGGGAAGCAAAGATGCAGTGTAGGAAATGTTTGGGCTTTGAGATGAACAGGCAGAAGTCCAAGACTTGCCAACGTCCAAAGTGTTTGAGGCAATTGTGACCCTTGGCAGTGGAGGAGAGTCCTACAGTCATAGGTGTGAACAGAATCCTGGTCTTTCCGGAGTCTTTCGGAAGCACCTCCCCCCCACACACGGCCTTGTTGTGGAGGGAGCTCTTTTCAGTTTCTATTGAGCATTTACATATGCCACGATTGATATGAAGGGGCTCGAAACAGCACCCTGTGCTAGAACAGACAAGGAAAAAAGAGCACCAGACCAAAAAGCACTTTCAAACTATATCCATGGTTTTCCACAGGTCACCCTGAAGAACATGTTTGAAACCTTGGTGTTCAGGAGGCTCTTCAAGTGATCCTACGCTCCCACAAGTCCGCACCGGTCCAAACCTTTGCCATTGAAAAAGGTGCCCCTGGCACGCTTGCCTCACTCAGCATCTGAGGCTATGCACGAGATCCGCAGCTCCTGGAACAGCTGCTGGAGGCCTGTCCCATGACTGGAGAAGGACAGGAAAGGCGAGTGCCTCCGTCACATTGGATCCAAGACTGGAGGATGTTCAATCACTTTGGGAGCTTTCTAGCCGATGAAGGTGCTTGGAGATCTCAAAACTCAAAGTGGTGTTCACTGATTGTCAACACTTGGGGATGGGTCTAAACCTGGAGCTCCAACACAATGTAGCTTGACTTTCCTAGGTTGACGGTCAACCAAGGCATCCTGGTTTTGGACTCGACCCATTTCTGGAGTCTGACTCGCTCTCATTTGTTCTGAGAAGATCTCCTTGGTGGGTGAATTGATTATGTTCAAATGTACCGGTCCTCACAATTCCTCACAGTCTTTTTTCCCTTCCCGTCCTCCTTGGATTTGAACATTTGGACAAGATGTAGGGGCCCGTCCAAGGAGGACAAGATGCCAGAAACACCTCCATCCTCCTACAGTTCTCCTGCTCCAACCAAGGTCGGGAAACTGGGGTTTTGTTTGACTCCAGGACTCCAGGGTCAAGCTTGACCCCTTATTCTTCCGCGATTCGGTTCGTACATGTTCATACTTCTGGAAAGCATCCCAACATCCTCCGCAGAATCAGTTTTGGGAACCGCAGGCCGAGAGTAAATGGAATCGAAGGGAGGCACGAATCGCATGGCGCTCGATGAGGCCTGACGCGTTTGTCAGACCTTGTGTTTTCTTTTGTTTTGTTTTGTGTTTCCTTTGGTAGCAGAGATGATGAACTTCGACAAAAGTCTGATCAGGAGAAGTGTCGATCCACCGGGAACAGTTCTTAGATGGTGAAAGGAGAGGGCTGAGCATAGTAGGTCAAGTGAAAAGTTGTGAACCGGTTGTTTTGTGCCGGTGGTGCTTTGCATCATTGATGTAAAACAACTTTGCTTAGATTCCAAGATGTGCAACGTCTCAAACTTCTTCATTCTGGGCTCACCGTTGGTTCGGGTCAGCCAATATCCCGGAGGCATGCCACCTTACTCTTGCCAGAGCTCTTCGACAAAGTCGTGAGCTTTGTGTGATGCAGCTGAAGTCAGTGCAGTTTTTGCGCTCGCCCGTCCCGAGAATGATCCAGAAGAAGGTGCAACTACTGAAAATTATTGACAAGCTGGGAAGCGAGTGAACAAATGGTCAAGTATATAATTGAAGTTGACACCAAGGGATGCAATTGCAGCAAATGGCAACAACAAACTGGTAGAAAGAGCAGGGCAAGATGCACCAAGCACATATTTTAGTTTGATTCCTGTGGCTGGTTGTTGTAAATGTTTTCGTATGTCGTTTGATGATGTTTGATGCACTTACAAGTATCTCAAGCAATTTGGGATATGCTTCGTAGGTCCTGCAAGTGGAGTTTGTGTCCATTCCTGTAGTAGAATGTCTTGGGCAAACAGGTAGGTACACATATAGCATGGTGTTTTATTTATTGGGCTTCAGGCCCGAAATAAGGAGTATTATATAAAGTAACAAGGTAATAGAGGAAAGAATTACCGAACACACTATGTGTTGAGTCTACAATGCTACAAGCATTTTCTCAAGCTCGCAGCTGCGTACGAATGCAACTTGTTGATATGCATTGCACGTTGAGGCCTTAGCAATCTTTGTTTTTTCAGGGTCATCTCTACATCATTGCTGGAAGTACTACAAGTCAGGATAATGTGCGCCCCGATGCCTTTGGGCAGGTGTCAGTTGCATTTATTGGGTGCACGTGTATAGAAATTCGATCTTATAAACCTCAAGGTTCCCCCTTGAGATTGTCAAGGGGTTGCCTGAGCAGGGAGTTTGAATGGATGAGACTGGATGACGCACACCAATACACCAGCTTTTGAATGGATGAGGATCCTAGAAAGGCAACAAAAGTCGTGTTTTGTCATGCCGCTGAGCTCCCCGGAGGATTTAATCATTTGGGGACGCGTCTTCGAAGAGTTGAAGAAATGAAGATGAGCCCCGGGAATGTCCCGCATTCCCATCCCTATAAATTCAATTTTAACTGCATCTAGACTCTCTAGACCTGCAGCATGGCTGCAGAATTCGCAGGTCACTGGCAGAAGGATGCCAAAGATGGAGCAATACCTCAAAGGTCAGAATCACTCTTCCTGCCAACCTCGTTCCCACATTCCACGGCTGTCTTGGACAACTCTTCACACGGGGAACGTACGAGACTGACATTTGTCAAGGAAACTCAAGGAATCTACGACTTTCGCAACCTCAAGGCCAATTTGCGCCAAAGATAGTTCGATCATGATCATGATCTTCTTTTGCGGGACTGAAGGGGCAGCGGGCAGTTTAACGAACGTGGGCATTCGACATCAGCGTGATATGCCTCGACTTCTCAACACATCACGACCATTCTCGATGTGATTCCACTCACGGTTTGCCAAGTGACCGTTTTGCAGGTAGACCGGTAGACCGTTGCAGCCGGTGGTCCCAGAACAGAGTCGCGTTCGGGACTTTCAGCATGACTCAGTCTGGGCTGCCGGTTGCACCGGGTGAGTTTTGCCGGCGATGGCCGGAGAGAGCACAGTCATGTGCGCGAGAGATGGCTTCACAAATGAAGATTAACCAGTTAAAATCTTTCACATTTATATATACTTGAGCCAACCAGTTCCGACTTCACCAATGAAGGCAACTGCGATCCCCATTGCCATTTTCGATTTGGGCTGTTTTTTTCTGTCATGGTTCCACTCACAATAGCTCGCGCGACGGACTGTGGCGGAGGAATGCAGTCCATTGAGGCGGATTTTTGATCTTTGGATCTCCAATTAATGCTTAGTTGAGTTGTGTTAGGGGATGGCATGGTGTGGAGGGTCAATTGCTGGCCAGGATCTTGGACCTTGGATCTTCCACCAATCTTGGGACTCCCTGCCTGCGTGATCCGTGTCCTTGGGCTCCGGTTGGTTGGAAGTTCCTCGAGTCCTCGCGCACAGCAGCATTTGACCCAAGCACTGTGCGCAGCTGCAGGGGATAGATACTCGAAGCTCGAGAAAGTGGCCGATGGAATTGCCAGTTTTTCTTCTTGAACCATGCTGTGATTGGTTTATGGACTGATTCCTGGTTCAAAATGTTGTTTGGGCACAGCACATGTTGCAGCCTTTTTTTGCATGTGCCCAACTTGACCTTGGACTTTGTTTGCAAGATAGGGTAGTAAAGATGGAGAGAAATTTGAGCAACCGCCAAAACCTGTGATGAACCATTTGGGAAAGAGAGGTCGTGATCTTCAGGAATTTTGGCTAACACCTTCAGCTATGTTGAAAGTGTGCCTCAGGCCTGAAAAAGCGAGACTGTAGGCTACCCTCAAAGCAATAGCCTTGTTAAACAACGTTTTGGCAGACGCTCATGTGTTCTTGCTTTCTCTCTCCCCACTCTGTCTCTGGCATGTTGCATGGCCAACGCAGCTATTTAGTTCAGAAGCGAAGCTTCAAAGGAGATCACTCGAGTCATCCGAGCAAACGTGCTTCGAGCCTTCCTGCAACCCCAGTACCATTCTCCTTCTCCTGAACGAAGGGGACCCCCCCAAACCACCAAAAACATAGACTTGACATCACTATCATCACTGGACTGTATATAACCCAGACAATCCATGCAGGTAAATGACCGACCTACATTCATCCCCAAAGACCACCAAATGTAGGCACATATGTGCTTACATGGATCGTTTGGGTATTATAAACTTACATATACACCCTAGCTTCCCGATTCCCAACTCCAATTGATTTAATAGCCTGAATCCCGAACAACCATAGTTTGACTATGTTCTACTGAGGATGTTAGAAAACGAAGCCAGTTCAACCATTTTAATAATGGTCTTTGGAGGCCAGAATATGAGGCACAGAACAAAGTTTGTCCATATATCCCTGACGAAGGTGTGTCTTTCTGGCACTGTATAGATGTATGTTTTCAGGGTATGGCTGGGGAAGGCTCCTTTGTTGGAACCAAGCGAAGCTTTCGGATTCCCCAGTTCCGGCCGTGGCCACGTTTTCGGTGATGGATCCGCTCCTTGCGCTCCATGTGCTGCTTTGCTCTCCTGAATCGGTGATTTTCAAAGCTGTTGTTCCTGGGATGCACTCCACCAGCTGTCAGCTTGAGTGTCAGCATAGATGACAGCACAGTTTGACAACACCCCCACAAGGGATAGGCGCCCAAAAAGTATCTCAGGAAAGTCAGAAGATGTCGGACGATGTTACACTGAGGACTGCCCTTAGGTTGAGGCTAGTCTTTGAAAGCAGACCTTTTGACCCATTTGGACCTCCCGAATCAGTCCGGCATGGCCTCAAACGACCGATGGTCGCGCATTTTTTTCGCATCAACCGAGGCATTCTTCCTTGATTCGAAGGCTGGGGCGGCGGTAGACTCGGTAGACTCCATACCGACACAGTCAGGTCAGAACCTGCAAAACCATTATCTATTGGGGGTTCTCTTCTAAACAAGAACAGGTGAACAAAGGTTAGCTAACAAAGTCGGCATAGGCTCATAGGTTTTGAGATATTGCGACGGCTCAAGCGGATTTTGATGATATCGGTAAGCCTCATGTCATGGGTTTATTGGCACATGACGTGGTGTCTGAGAATCGTCATTCCAAGCTGGGCAAGAAGTACTCGGCAAGATTGCATTTCCCCAAACCTCGCCTATTCCTCTTCAGCACTCCGAGCACCGTTGTCCAAGCTTTTGCAGCAGGTTCTGCTAGCCTCGCATTTTGTTGCCCTCTTGAAGGCTGATAGAACCTGCTCAGCGCAGTTCCTTTGGAACGGAACAACACCGGTAAAGATACCAAAGCCACGTACTGTAAAGCCTGAGAGCCGTCATTCTTCGTACGCTTTGATGACTTTGCTCACGCACGACTTGCTAGGGCACACGCTTGACTTTTCAGAACTTGAGGCTGAAATGCCACTAATTAATCTGAAATGACAATCAACAACAGAATGTATTCTAGCGCTTGCACCTTTGTAGCCAGGAAGACAAACATCAGCCTGTGAATGAAGCAGATGCAGTGCACTGATAACACATCACGTGATATCGATGATCAAATGTAGAGATGTTGATGCACGTGCGCGAGTATTGCGCGTGCGTATTTTAAGTTCTTGGCGAGGATGTGGTTCGGTAGCATTCCACCAGACTTTCGGATCCGGGGGGCTGAGTAAGAACAAGGGTGTAAAGAACTGGAAAATAAGAATCCATGAAAAGCCGACAGTTTTCGAAGAGTGGACAGGCTGAAAGGCTGGCAATGGCATCCAGATGAGATCTGGCATTCCTGTTCTTGATGGTTTTGAAGATTTAGTTAATTCCCATTTCTAATGATCAAGGTATAGCAAATGAAGCCACTCTGAATATTTTTATCCACAGTACTCCATATAACTTATGTAGCTTTGGGTTGACGAAACAACTCTTGGATGTTTGTCGGCAATCCGTCTGGTCGTGGGAGACTCGCGCCGCCAAAAGCAAGACGCCCTGCCTGCGTGGCCTGCGTGGCCCAGATTCATCTTAAGGTCGCGGGTATGAAGCCATGAGCCTCACGACTTAGGCTGACCATTTTTGGGCTCTGTCATTTCTGTTTACCAATGTCATTTGCAGGTGTGCGTTCTTGTTGGACTCCTCTAACCTGGCTGTTCTCATTCTGTTCCGTGACATGTGCTGTGCACCCCCACTAGCCACCACATGAACCCCTGTCGCCAGCTCTGGTTTCGCCTGGCAGCTGTGGTGGCCTTGCTGGTCTTGCTGCAGCTTCTCCTGGTGGTGGGACAGTCGGAGGGGAACCAGGATACTCATGGGCCATCAGAGTTTACGCCGACAGACTTACTGTAAATCATCTCTGTTCTAAGTTCTCATCTGGGGCATGGCTGGGACCCATGGATGTGCGCATGGGCCGCACGCTAAGAAGCATGGAAGCATCATACAAAGCTATAGAGAATAGGGTTTTGAAAACAAGCATTGATGATCTTTTTTGAATGACTCTTTGGATGTAGGTGCTTGTCTTTGGGCATCCTCAGGAGGAGTCACTGGCCATTTCAGTGGTCTTCGCTGGCTGTGCGCTCACCAATGTGGTGGCATTCGCCTCCTTTCGCCCACAGGCATCAAAGATTCGAAGATGGATTTGGAAGATTGGGGGATCAGGGTGTTGTGGCAGTGGGCGAGGAACGGGTGGGAAGGTCCACAATCTCCAACCTTCATTTAATTTTGGTATTTTTTGTTGTTTTCACCTGGGCTCGGTGTAGGTTATATTATGGGTCGAGGCCCAAGTTCTTCTGTGGCGAAACCAAGTCATAGAGGCGGATTGTTAAACAGTCCCGCGAAGGTGCGGATTGTTAAACAGTCCCGCGAAGGTGTCCGCACTAAAATAATGGCAAAGGCATGCAGCACAGACGGATGAATGGACACGGCAGTAGAGCAACACCTGTAGAATACAGGAGGCTATGGGAGACTACAGGTGTTTCACACATATGATACGTGTATATGCATGTAATGATCAAGGTAATGATATGTAATGCATTAATGTATGTAATGTAGTGTAGTGTAATGTAATGCAATGGTATGGTATGGTATGTATGTAATTCATGTAATGTACTGACGGTACTGTACTGCAATGCATTGCAATGCAATTAATGTAATGTAACGTAACGTAATGTAACGCACGTGTATATTTACATAATATATATATATATAGTATCCCCATAAGAGCACTGTGCGCCGTAATGCGCCGCTGACATGGTCAGGTGGTGGCACTCATTGGACGGCGAGGGCTTCATCCAGCGGAGGAGGTGCTGCGACGCCTGCGGCGGCTGAGCGTGCGGAGGGCGCCCTGCTATTTGCGCTGGATGGAGGTGAATGACAGGATGCGGTTGGACGTGGGGCCATAATGAAGGGAATGGAGAGGAACATGGGGATGTGATGGGATGTGGTCGCGTTGGAAAGGCTGTTTGTGGTGTTGTGGCATGTTGTGCTGCAGAAAACGAGATGATAATGTGTGTGTATGTATATATGTGGAACGCTTGGAATGCAAGGAGTGCAATTGACATTGCACTATAGGCACTACAAGCGTGGGGGCAAGGCCTCCAGCGATGAACCTTGTCCAACGATGCTAAGTCGCTGGAAGGAAAAACCGATAGAGACTTCCATTCATGTGTATATAACTTCCTCAGAACTCTTGGACTTTTGGCTCAAATTCCCACGGCTGTGTTTGGCCAATCAATATATATATATATATAAATCACCATTTGGAATTTGAGCCAAGAGTCCTGACAGGGATGTAGCTGCCACGTTTGTGAGTGTTGTAGCCATTCTCCACTTGCCTCACAGATGTGAGTTCGATCGTTGTTTGACATGGCTTGAAACTCTGAGCCTTGAGCCGCTTCTGGACTTGAAACTGATATGACGCCCATCTCATTCATGCATACGATTCGGTTTTGTGTGTTTTAAACGACCTAACAGCCGCGTTGTGCCGCAGTGGATGCTTCACTCGCAAGTACACCTTCCTGTTTTCATCCTTAATCCGTAGTATGCGCAGGGTCTTGAAAGATTTTGAATGCTTTTCTGCATGTTTTTGGTACTCACAAGGACTCTAGGGCCCGTCATCCATGGTTCTTTCTTTTGCTCCGCCTGTAGCTCAATGGGGCCACCTGAACCGCACGACATCCCAACCAAGAGTGCCTTTTCCACAGAACTGGAGCCATAATGGTTATGGAAGAGCCTCAAGTAGATCCATTCAAATCTATCCAGATCCTTTCCTTCTTGTTTCTTGGACTTGGAAATTCATCTTCCCAGACACTCCATGTACCGAATATACACCTATACATCTATATACATGTTTTTTGTGATTATATGTATAATATATATAATATAACATATATACATATATACATAGAGTAAGGCACTTGTTACTACTAGCTTCTTGTTACTACTAGTAAGGCACTTGTTACTACTAATATATAGTTAAAAATATATTGGTACAACATGGGATGGTTTTATCGGTCAATCTACGAACATCTTCCAGTCCCATCGGTCGTGCCTGACCTTCAAACATCCCATCGACACCGTGGGTGCGTCCGGCCGGCAGGTCCTTTCTTCGGTCGTGCTACGAACAGGACCTTGATCCGGTGCTGCGACCTTGGAATTGGCTGTGGTGTGCTGTTGGTGATGTTGGCCGGGGAGCCTGGTCAAAAGAACCCGAATGAATGGAGGATGCCTCCGATGCCTCTTAAGATCTGGAGACGTTTGGAAGAGTCGATGAACACTTGTGGGTCGCATGAAGTGAAACACAATTTGAGTGGCGGCGTGCTGAAGTGAAGTGAGAGATTCACACATTCATTTAGTGCGGTATACCTTCCTGCCTGCAGCTTGGCTCAGTTTGAACAGCTCTGAATTGCATCATGCATTCACAAGGGGCCAGAAGCTTCCCTCTAAAGACACACGCCCACATGTTGTCCATATTATGGTTCATATGATGGTCCAGGTGTGTGGAACAGTTGTTGATCGCCGAGACTCGACTTTCGGTCATTTTTTGGAAGCGGAGGCAGCTGACCCAAGTCTAGGAATTTATTTACTTGAATTTACTGATCACTTCGGTCCCAAAAATGAAGGGGCTACGAACTCTCCCAGCTGCCTGGATCCGCGGTGGGACGTCGAAGGGTTGCTTGGAGGAGTCGAAGGGATCGCCGTTTTGGGCGCCTGATGGCAGGGAACGTCGACCATGTTCAATTAAAAAGAGCACTGAAGACTGAAACCAGGATGACACCTCAAAAGCATTCAAAAGCAAGGAGTTTGATTCATTCTGCCTTTGGTGCCACTGTTTGAGCCATAGGGGTGAACCCTTTGTTTCGCTTCGCAACGAAACAACGTGCACTTAGGCTAAGCTAAGCGAGACCTGTTAATAACAACAAGCTTGCCGCGGCAATCTCAGGTCATGCAATTGAACCAACATGTTTTGGGGACCAAATCGTCCTCACCCGTTTTCAGGATTTTTACTGGGCGTTCGTAGGACCACTTGATCGAAGGGGATCCGGCAAGCCCGGATCGAGTTGGGGTGGTTTGGAACACGGGAAGCTCGAGTCCGCCACCACACAGCCCGGCTCCTACAGGCTCCCCAATATCACCAGTGGAAGAAAGACCAAAACAACACTTTTCCGCTTTTCCGCAAGAATCAGGCACCGCAGCTTAAGCTGGGGTGACCTTTGGTAGGCCAAAACAACAGAGAGCATGAAAGCACCCCGAGCCAAGCATTGGTTCATGGGTCCAAGATTTTGTCATCCATGGTGGGGGGGGATTCTTCGAGATACACCGGTCTCCCAACCCACCAAACAAAGCGGCCACCACAGGTGGATTTGTTGAACAGCGGTTGGGTTCGTGTTGTCCTCGGTCCATCGCTCAGGGCTCTTTTTCAAGCGCTCCTCGTTGCCACCGAGTGGTCCACAGCGGGATCAACTCATCCTGGCAGCCTTGGGAAGCCCGGACATGGCTCGCACACGCCACGGTCAGATTGGAACGGTTTCACATGGTTTCCTACTGGGAGATCAAATTGGAAACTCAGTAACTCCAATTCAGCAGATCGAGGGTTGGGGAGGTTTTTAGTTTATAGGATGTTTCAAGAGGGGTGAAGTCCTTTCAAATCTAAGAGGTTGGTTGAGCCACTGATCGGTGGTGAAGAATGTGAACTTTGGACATCTCCAGCGGAGGCAACACTCAAATCTTCTCGTGATCTTGCCTTGATATGACTGACCTTACCTCGCCCCATCAGTGAGCAGCCCCAAGGCACTCTGAAACATCGCCACCCAAACATTGCGCCAAATCAGGTGACTTTGCCGTGCAGTATCTCAAACGTGCATCAAGACCCCAATACATCAAAGCCGTTCATCTTTCTGAATTCTCTCCTAATCCCTGAATGTTCCCTATCTCCATGAGCCCCCACATGTTTCAAACATCAAACCACCTTTACAAAAATGGCCAACTCCTCAGTGTTCTCCATGTGCGCCACAGCAACCCAAGTGCTGATCTTGGATGAGCCTGACCCAGACTCCGCAGGATCCATCGGGTCTGCAGCTCAACGGCTTGGGCGGTGGTATCTCCTCGACCAGCAAGGTGCGGCAGCTCTGGAGCCACGGCGTCGTGTGGTTTGTACCTGTTCGGGCAAATGTTTATGTCTGGGAGAATTTTTGCTTGTGGGAAATCTTTTTGTCTAAATCTTTTCCCGGTTCCTTAAGCAAATCCAATGAAACCAAATGATGTGATTTGTGCATAGCGGACGGACTCACCATATCAGCTACAGATAGCTACAGTATAGCTTTCGTTTGGAGATGCGCGCTTTCATTTGAGGGTGCGGAGGCTTTGTGAAGAGTTGCGTTCAAGGGGCCGTGTTGAAAATCCAGACCACATGTGTTGGAGTCTTAGGGAATCTTAGGGATGGATCAGTGGATCATTTTCTGTAACTATGCAAACATTTTGCTTGTGGACGAAAAGGCAAACATTTTTCTCAGTTGGAAGATCCTTCCAACATAAAATGTGAACACATCTGAACACATTTGCCAGTTTCCCAGGTTGCTCGATTGGACTTCTCCATATTCGATCTACTTCAGGATTTGTAGTCTATACTATACAGTCTACTGTTGGAAGTCCGGTTACCGACGATTGTTTGCCACGCCATTGAACTGTTTGGAAGTTCCTGGACTGGGGTCACCGACTCAGACCATTTTCAGAACAGTCGACTGGACTCGCAGGGAATACAATGTACAACATCTTGCGATCTTGACTATAATATATTACATATATTATATACAACCTCCCAAGCCCGAACAGTTTTTTAATCCATGTCTGGGGGTTGAAATGTCATCACATTCTTCCAAATCCCACACCAAACCGACCAGGATTTGTATTCTATAGTCTGAATGCTTTTCGAAATGGAAAGCACAGTCCACAATCAATCTCAGACCTTCCGAGCATTGGATATAGTTGATCTATCTTGATCGTCCTTGTTACTAGTAGCTATTTGCTCCTAGTAGTACGGCCAGGAGCCTTGCTCCTAGTAGCGATGCCAGGAGCCCGTAGTAGCATCCTTGCTCCTAGCAGCGATGCCAGGAGCCCGTAGTAGCGTCCTTGCTCCTATGGCCCAATGGCATTTGTTTGTGGGTTCCCGGAGCCGATTTTGTCGGTAGACCAGGTCGGCTGTCCGGAGTGTTTTTTGGGAGCGTCGATCGGTCAGAAAACCGAGTGGCTCGCTCGCATGAAATTGTAAGAGAAGATAAAGAAGTTATGTACGTGAAGTGACTCTATGACCTGCAGTCCGTTTTGACAGGTCGTCATCGTCTCAGAGTCTGATCGCTCCTGGACTTAGTTTTGGTCGGGTCGTTCCACAGGTGAACATGAAAGAACACGTCGTGTTAGCATGCCATGCGAAGCTGAAGAAAGTTCCACAATGTTCCACATTTGGATCAGTCATGGTCCATTGCTTCTTACGGGAGATACGGGAACATCATCCTGTTGGACATTCTTCTACAGACAACCTTCTGGTTTAGAGGCCAAGCAAGCTAAGCTGCGCACTAAGCGGGTATGCTTTCGGGGTCCAGTCATTATGTTGGGATTTTCCGGTTGAGGTGAGGGCTACGATGTGGATTATCTCTTCGGGCAGGTTGAGATCAAGGAGCCTTCCGAAGTGACTGGCAAGTAGTGGGGTTTATTCTGGATTCCGAAAGAACCTTGTGTGATAGGATAAAAAGGATGAAGGGGCTGCTGGCTGCTGGTCCCCCCATTTTGCAAAGACGCATTCCAACATGCAACCCGACCACAACTCCTTCGTAAACCACGCCGGCCCACACTGCACACAGCGGCATGCCAGGAGAGGGTCATCAATTGGCAAGGCTCCTTGACTTCAATGCTGGCTGAGCCGCTTTCAGGATTTGGCTTGCTACTCACATACTCACCAGAGTTCCTGTGTGCTTGTTCATCTCCCGGGAGAACAAGACCCCCTTTCATATCTTTCATGATTTCCGTGTTCCCCAGAGCTGTTCTGCGGGAACTGGCTCAGATCAGCAAGAGTTAGCACTGCAGGTAGTTGTGGAAACCTCTCTGCTGGAGTTGGACTCTTTGCCCTGGCGGAGGGCTTTGTGACGCCTCAGAAAGGCTCGCGTTTTCATGTGCCCGAGTCGGGCGATTCGATCGCTGATGGGAGGGTTTTTCAGTAATTGATTCAAGCCGATTAATCTTGCAAGAAGTCTTATCTTCTGGACCTGTCTCCATGGTTGCTCCACTTCGAACTGTTTCGGCTTCGGCATCGGTTGTGTCGATTTTGCTACAGCCAAAGTAGGCCAAAAGCGCGAACGGGCCATGGATGGTTTGCTGGGGATTACAACTTTTTTACCAGGAGGTGAATGGGCTGTGGTGACAATGACCACATGCATCACCATGCATCCAGTTCCTCTTTCTGGTCTCCCAAAGGATCCGGACCCGAAGCAACGCCCCAACGGGGGGGTTTGGGGCCCCTTCGACCCCCGCGAGTGCTAGGGGTGGAGTTTTTAGGACTCTCGGAGAACGGAGGGGACCACGCCGACTCAGTGGGTCGAAGGATGGGTGGATTATAGCGTCCTTGTTACTAGTACTAGTAGTAAGGCCAGGAGCCCCTAGTAGCGTCCTTGCTCCTAGTAGCGATGCCAGGAGCCCCTAGTAGCTTCTTGTTCCTAAAATGGGTGGTGGTTTCAGAGATTTTGATGTTCAACCTTGACTTGGCGATTGGATCCCCATGGATTAACTTTGTCAGTCGACTCGTTTTCCAAAGATTCACCTGGTTTGGCGCCCATCCATGCGAAGTCTGGGAACGACCCGGTCGGTGGACGGAGATCCCCCGTGACTGATCCAGATGATCCATAAGGTCGGACGCAAGTTGTGACTGTGACCTTCTTCGCTTCTCTCTCGCTATTCGGTGGAGGCCATCGCTACTAGGAACAAGGACGCTCTTAGGTTCTTCACTTTTCTTCCAGCTTTTCCAGCCTCTGAGATGGCTATTGGCCGGCGGTCTGACAGGCACTACATCGGTTCGAGTTTGGCAAGTGAATCAGGGCTATGGCATGAAGGTCCACGTCCCTGCAGGTGTTGATGCACCAATGGAGGCTAGGAAGTATGCAGATAGTTTCTGTCAAACCCTGCTGCCTGCTGTTCAC